GTTTATTCCGAGGTATTTTATGGTTTTTTGTACAATTGTGAATGGGATCCGTTTCTTGATTTCTCTTTCTGTTGCTTCATCATTGGTGTATAAAAATGCAACCGATTTCTGGAAACGTACAGAAACTTAAAAAAAAAAATTAGGGAAGGAGAGCCTGGGGGATTCATTCATTTAAGCATCCGACTGGCTCATGGCATGATGTCATGGTTGGTGAGTTCAAGCCCCAATTGGGTTCTGTGCTGACAGTGTAGAACCTGCTTGGGATTCTTCTCTCTGGCCCTCTCCTGTTCATGCTTTCTCTAAATAAATTAATTAATTAATAACTTAAAAATTAGGAAGGGCACCTGGATGCCTCAGTTAGTTGAGCATCTGACTTTGGCTCAGGTCACGATCTCACAGTTCGTCTGAGCCCCACCTTGGGCTCTGTGGTGACAGCTCAAGCCTGGAGCCTGCTTTGGATTCTGTGTCTCCCTGTCCTCTGCCCCTCCCCATCTCATGCTCTGTCTCTCTCTGTTAAAAAATAAACATTAAAAAAATAGAAAAAAAAATACATAAAGAAACGGACACCATACCACGTCAAACAACTGATACACAGGTTAGGAAGGAATTATACATCTATTAAGTTAACCTTCAGCCTTACGAAAGAATGAAACTTCTTTAAAAAAATTTTTTTTTAATGTTTATTTTAAAGACAGAGCACAAGTGGTGGAGGGGCAGAAAGAGAGAGGGAGACACAGAATCTGAAGCAGCTCCAGGCTCCAAGCTGTTAGCACAGAGCCCGATGTGGGGCTTGAACCCACGAACCACGAGATCATGACCTGAGCTGAAGTTGGAAGCTTAACTGAGTGAGCCACCCTGGTGCCCCAAAAATATGGAACTTATAAGTGATGATTGATGATTCAAAAAAATCGAAATATTAGGTGCACAAATAAATACCAACAAAATCCAGTATGTTCAGTACTAGGTCATAGCGGATGTGGGAGCTAGGAGTGTGCATTGCATGAGGGGGGCACAGTTGAGTGCGCACGAATCCCCGTTGGCGACGGCCACACGGTATACCCGCCACAGGCCACTCCCCCACATGGCACTGTTCTGCCCCTACTGCTGCCATCACCTCAGTCCTGTCAGGAAAACAACCAAATCCAACTGACCAATTGAGACCTCAGTTCCATGAAAACATTAAAACCTAGAACAGTAGGTGTTTTCAGCATGATGGACATGTTTCTGTACTGTAAATCCTAGGGAAAGCTCACACCCACTGGCAAACACTGTGTTTCAAGTAAAGCTGGCATTTCGCTGAAAATGGAAAGATTCCAGAAAACAAGCTGGCCTACAAATCGTACGAAATCTGCGGGAGGCTCTCAGGTCGAGCGTCTGGGATGAGCCTGTAAGGAGGCTGGCGCGGTGCTGAGCGTGTGTATAAATGGACGAGGTCTCTGAGGGTTGTGTCTCTAACTGTGTGCATAGGAACCGCTCTGTGTGGACGACATTCAACCACCAAGGGAAAGCCGATGCTTTCAGGAGACATTAAAAGTAAGTAATTGTCGCGTGTCTACTTTTCACAGACACGAGTAAATGCTGTCCATCCTTCCCGGCGATGGTCTCCTTCCTCGGTGATAGTCTCCGTCCTTCTTGCCAATGGTCTCCACCCTTCTCACGGCTCTGGGGCTGCATCCCCTTCTGTTCAACATTCACTTCCAAGTATTCAATCATAGCGTGTGAAATTCAGCGGAGAACATCTGACCCATTTACCATTCCCAGTGTTCAGGTCACAAAGCCAATGGGCAGGGATGAGGACAGACGGGAAACAAACTGAGGAAGATGCTGTTTTTAAGGGAACGGACCAGCGAGGGGACCAGGAGGCACAGCAGAGACACAGACACCGGAGAGCAGGCTGGGAAGGTGCCCCTCACTAGCTGGCTGACCTGCGAGAAGTGAATGCACATCGCTGTGTCTCCCTTTCTCGTCTGTGAAATGCAGCGGCCATCCCGCGACAGGTGACAGGGTTCTGTTGTAGCTGATGGGAAACAATAACAGCCCGAGTTGTACTGCTTTTTCCACCACAAGGAAAATGGAGACTGGACTGGTGAGGACGGCCTCCCCAGGTCGTTCAGGACCCGCCTTTCCAGCTCACTCTGGGGCCATCCCCATGGTGTGACTGGTGACCTCATGATGCACCACAGCTGCTGCACTTCCAGTCATCACAGCCCAGTTCCGGGCAGCAGGAAGTAAACAAAGGTATATAACTCCCTTCTTGTAAGTGCCACAGAAATCCAGCTTCTATCTCGCTGGCCAGCATTTACATGGGAGCCTCACCCAGCTCCAGTGGAAGTTGGGAAATGTGGCCTTTTAGCTACACAGCCCTAGGTCCAGCCGAAGACTCTGATTCTGTCAGAAGGAAGGAGCAGAAAGTTCATGGTGGAAGAAAACTAGAAGCCTTTACCACCTGCACCTCCTTTATTAATATTTGTACAGGAAAGAGTGTAGCATAGCCTTAGAGCATCCTGGGCTTCTGGGACTCAGCCTTATTGTAACTTTTCTTTCTTTAACTTTGTTTTATTTGGGGGGAAAGAGACAGAGGTAGAGAGACAAAAAGCCAAGCAGGCCCTTCACTGTCACCACGGAGCCGGACGTGGGGCTCAGACTCACGAAGCGTGAGATCATGACCTGAGCTGAAACCAAGATTCTGTCATAATATATAATCTCTGAGACACCTTAGCATTTTCTGCCCATTTCTATCATTATTGTATATTTTATCTCTAGCCATTTCTATCATTATTGTACATTATACAATCATATTTTGAAGTAAAATCATTACATTTCAGATCTTTATAAGGTTAAAGTTTATAAAATAAAGTTGATTTCAGTCCCATCTTAATCAAAACTTATAGCTAAAAATAAATATTAACTTTTACTCCTAATATATAATAGGAGAGGAAATGCTACTTAACTTACTTTAAAGTAAGTACAATAAAGTACAGTCCTCTCAAATTTTTAGATGCCAAAACAGCTCAGACTCCTTCAGAACTAAGTATGTATTAGGTCTGAGAGACAGTATCAACTACAGGGAAAAGAAACCACCCTGCTTTCCATGAGCTGATGTTTAAATTATCTGATGTATTAGATTTCATGTTGCTCTTAAAAAAAAAAAAAAGATCAGTGTGTATTTTGTTTCTAAACGGTCACAAAGAGGGTTTTAGCATTCTGTACGAAGTATATGCATACATACCGCTAATAAACAGAGTCAAACTGGACTCTCTTAGGCTCTGCAACTTTGTATCTACATGGCTTTTCTGGTTACTTAATATCTCTGTGCCTCGCTCTCCCCTTCTGTCCCCTTAGACAAGGGCCCTGGGGCAGACCAGTCTGGGCCCAGAGCTGTACAGGAAGCACAGCAAAGGACTGGAAAGCCCAGGAATGCTCAAAGAAAGAAAATCACGAGGACTTGCAAGATCACAGCCCAGTCAGGTTCCCAATCATACGAGGTAAGAGATTTGTAAAAATCAGTGCCTTTGTTGTGTGATCACCAATTCCTTGGGTACAGGTACTGTGCACAGGGCACTCGAAGTCCATGAGCGAGTGAGTGAATGAGTGAATGACAGATATGAGACATTTTTCATGTGCCCACTTATGAGTAAGTGCATATGATGTATATATAAAATAAAACAAATGGCATTTATTCATCCATGAATAGGTGCCTGATTTGGGGTATGTGTTAAATAGATGCCGTATTTGATTACAAAATACATATCTGTGGTTTATGTTAAATAGTGTATTTGATTATAAAATGCATATTTCTATATGTGTTAAATAGATACCTTATTTGGTTATAAATATGTATGTTTAATATATTTTAAATAGATCCTATATTTGACTGTAAATATATTATCTCTGGTATATGTTAAGTAGATACTATATTTGATGATAAAATGCATTTCTCTGGTATGGGTTAAATAGATACTATATTTGATTATAAATACATATCTCTGGTGTGTGCTAACCAGATACTGTATTTGATTATGAAATGCAAAACTCTGGTATGTGTGAAATAGATACTGTATTTGATTTTAAAATTCCTATTTCTGGCATGTGCTAAGTAGATAATGTATTTGGTTATAAAATGTATAACTGTGGTATGTGTGAAACAGATATTGTATTAGATCATAAATGCATATCCCTGGCATGTGTTAAATAGTGTATTTGGTTATGAATGTGTGTCTCTGGCATGTGCTAAGTAGATAATGTATTTGATTATAAAATGTATCACTGTGGTATGTGTGAAATAGATACTGAATTTGGTTATAAGTGCCTATCTCTGGCATGTGTTAAAGAGACAGTGTGTTTGTTTTAAAGGGTGCGCCTGTGTGGAGGAGCCAGCGAGGGGAGGATCGTGATCCTTTACTGCAACCGCTGCGGAAGGCCGAGAGGAGTGGCCGAAGTCCGTTCCTGCAGCCCCGCCTGAGAGGTGCGTGCTCACCTCTCTCTCTGTGCTCACCTCTCTCTCAGTCCCCCAGAAGCGGCCTCCTGCCTGGAGTGTGGGCCCAGGGGAAGTGCAGGGCTGGGGAAGGGCGGGGCTTGCTGCCTCGCAGGGGGCTTCTGTGGGGGTCAAGGAGTGGGTGCTCCCGCTCCAGCTTGGGGGGAATCAGGTGTGCGCTGCCCTGATGCTTTCCCCAGCTGGATGGCTCAGCCCTGCATGTAGATGAGGCTGTAAATACGACTTTTAGTGCTTTAGAAATTTGTTTAGTCTTTTTTTTTCTTTTAACAAATGGGATAAGGTTTATAACCAGGTGGAAAAAGGAACATCCCAATCATCCTGAATGTCGAGATCTTGCCACCAAGCCCCCTGCACTTGATTTCTTTTCTGTTAAAAACAGAATTATTTATGAAAAAAATCATATACACTGATTTGGAACCACCAGAATAATGACAGCATCAGGTCCTTCAGAGGAAACGTATTAATAGAGGAATTCCTGAGGATTCACCAGTTATAAGAATGTTACCTGCCCTTTGTAGTCCACTGGTTTCAATCCCGCGTAAAGGGGCACGAAGCTGCTGGCCAAGAGAACCTGGGTGGATGAAACAGAAACAGCTCGTAAGTATAGGCATTCACGCACGCACGCACGTGCGCGCACACACACACACATGCACGCCGGATTTGATATGTCAGTAAAAGATGCTACATTTTTCAAAAAAAAGCAGTGTTTACTATCAAGGACTAATTTCCGTATATTTCAAGTGCACACCAGACACAGTTAAACAGAAGGTAACACTTTTAATATCCGAAAAGACCCTGAAGACAGAGGCACAATTCAGTGGTCTGGGACTCAACTGACTTCACCTGAGTAAAATCGCTATTTTAATCGTAGACAACCAAGTCATTAGAAAACTGAACTTCCAGGGAGGTCTACATTCGTGAGTATGTACAGTCTGCAAATAAATGATTCACAGTGCTCTGTCACGTGCTGTAAAAATCATTCTCAACTTGCAGGTGCCTCGCTCGCTAGCTCAGTCTGTAGAGCACCGGCTTAACCTTGGGGTGGTGAGTTCAAGCCCATGTCGGGGGTAGAGTTTACTGAAAAAAACAAAAATAAGTTTGCATTCTTGTGTTCCAGAGGAGCAAACCCCTCTGGTCATCACAGGAAACACTGGGCTGCAGCTTGGGAGTATTCTCACGTGTCCCCAGGATGTCGCTATGGGAGGAAAATGCTCCACGTGCTAGCAACATAGTCTGGATAGCTAATGAGAAGGCGGCAGCTCGGGACACCAATTATGCGTTGTCTTCTGTTGAAAAAGTCGAAGAAGATCGCCGTTTAAAGTATTACCATTTCTTCCAACAAAAGTACTTGGGCATTGGAAGCTTTTCTGACTTTTTTTTTTTTTTTCTTTTTCTTTTTTGACTTGCCGTTTCCAAGTCACTACTGTTCTGTTGGGAAAGACACAGCAATAGACACTGAATATTTAAGCTATAATCTTTCAACTAGTAAGTGAAGACTACCACTGTTCCTTGTCAAAGATTTTATGAGATTTTGGCGGGGGTGAGGGGAAGGCGGTGGGACATATATTATCCAGAAACGGACTATGGCCCCCAAACTGATTTGCCAGTCGCCTGCTTAGAATTGTTTAGAACTCAGAGAGCATTTTCCCCAAAGAAACAATAGTGCAGGTATGTTTTCTGAGGTTAGCTCTCAAGGCCAAAATACATATTCTGCACTGTGAGTCAATGCGAGATCCAGTCACCGGCAAGCTGCACTTCCGACAGGAAAAGTCTTCTGCGGCTTGTAACCTGACGCAGCTGGAATCCGTTATCTCTGCATCGTGAGCCTGGAAGTTGGCACCGGCTTTTCGATGCAGCGGTTTCAACTCTAAACACGGCTCGTGGCTCCTCACCGCCGAAAGCTGCTGGAGGGAGAGGGTCTGTGCCTCCTGCACGGTCGGCCAGTCCTCAGGGCTGAGCGCCGCCGGTGCCTGTGTCAGCTTCCCTCCTCCACGGCAGGAACGCAGATGAGCACCCTTGACGCCTCCCTGGCCCTCCCAACAGTGGGGCGAAACGAGGATTCTCCCACGCTGTTGGGGGCGTGCCGAGCACAGGGGCAGAGGTCCTGGTTGTAACAGCCCCCACGGCCGCAGGCTCCTGACAGGCGCCCCAGAAACACCGGGGGCGTCAGGTGAGTGGTAGCCATTTCGGTGGTATAACAGCACAAGCCAAGGACTCCCGCAGGAAAGAAGGAAAGATCTGTGCTGTTCCCGGCTGGTGCCGAGTGCCAGAAGGAGCCACGTCCTTTGCGTGCCCAGCACACGATGAAAATGCAGGTATTAAGGATTGCAACATCAGGGAACCTGGGCGGCTCAGTTGGTTAAGTGTTGGACTCTTGAGTTCTGCTCACGCACGTCATGATCTCCCGGTTTGTGAGATCAGGCCCGGTGTTGGGCTCTGTGCTGATGGGATGGAACCTACTTAGGATTCTCTCTCTCCCTCCCTCTCTCTGCCTGTCCTCTGCCTGCATGCACATTCTCTCTCTCAAAATAAATAAAGTGAAGAAAAAAAGAATTGCAAGATGTTGACAGCGTATCACCAAGCCAAGGTACAATGGCGGTCTTACGTGAGGTTTGTCAACTATGTACAATGAAGAGTGATTGTACACATGACGTACTTAGCATTCCTCTTTTCTTTTTACTGTTTAAAAAAATTTTCTTAAATGTTTTTTATTTATTTCTGAGAGAGAGAGAGGGAGAGACAGCATGAGCAGGGGAGGGTCAGAGAGAGAGGGAGACACAGAATCCGAAACAGGCTCCGGGCTCTGAGCTAGTTGCCAGCACAAAGCCTGATGTGGGGCTCGAACCCACGAACTGTGAGACCATGACCTGAGCCAAAGTCGGACGCTCAACTGACTGAGCCACCCAGACGCCCCTATTTTTCATGTTTTTTGATTTATTTATTGAGAGAGAGAGAGCAGGGGAGGGGGAAAGAGAGAGGGAGAAAGAGAATCTCAAACAGGCTCTGCGCTGACGAGCTTAGCTTGTGGCTCGATCCCATGAACCTTGTGATATCATTAGCTGAGCTGAAATCAAGAGTTGGATGCTTAACCGACTGAGCTGCCTAGATGCGCCAGCCTTCCTCTTGAAATGTGTGGCTGGAAAGAAGCTGTGCCGTGATGTTGGGCACACCTGTTATACAAAGAGGCAAAGCAGGAGTGAGCATCATCTTGGGTGATGTGTGCAAGGTTACTTCATAAGCCACTGGGTGACGACAGAACAGAAGCCCACCTTCTTGGCCCCACGACATCAGCAGTTGGGTGCTTTCCAGAGAAAGGCTGTTCATGGTTTTCATTGTCATTGCATTTACCCTAACTGAATTTGGCTCTACCATCAATTGGCTACTCTTTAAAAAGAAAAAACAATTACAGACCCTAGGTATGTTTTGTAGACATGCTGTGGCTATTTAATGAAGTAATTTGGCAAAAAGTTACATCGCGCTGTAGCAATCACTGGAACGTTCTGGGGAGGGCAGACATATTGTGAAATTACAGTACTTAAGGGTCTTTAAAGAACCAGAGACACTCGGTAAATATACAATTTATTTCATTATGCTGCACAATCATATGTGCCCTACAAAAAAAAAAAAAAAAAAAGAAAGAAAAAAATCACTACCATTAGAATCAGAATGATGCGTTTTTCCTCCCCCGGTGTCAGAGGATAATGTAAAGTTCACAAGTTAATGCTTGGAACTGTTTTGCGGTGTTTGGTTGAAAAATGCTATTCAATTACTTTCCTACAGATAAGAACAGTACGAGTCCTCCTCAATGATATGAAGAGTGCAGTGAATTGGAAAATATCTGACAGGTATTTCCTCCAAATCAATGTAGTCACTCTGTCGTACCTCACTTTCCCTTTATGTGGGCTGCTGATTTGTGTATCAAACTAAGTCTAGTGGGAAAATTGGCTTCCACAGTTCAAAACTAAGTGGTCTGTCTTATTCGGGGTGTGCTTGCTGCCATTTTATTGCAAGCAAACGGGATTTTCCAAGGAAAGAGGTGAGGGATGACGCTGTAATGGCCACTTAATAGGACATACAGGAGGCCTACACACGTCCGTCCACTGTGTCTTACCTCGTTGTTTGCCAAGTGAAATTTCTTCTCATCAGTGAATCACAACACACGTAGAGTAGAGGTTCTCTGTGAGTGGAGGGGGTATCTTTGTTTCCTGGGGACATTTAGCGATGTCTGGAGTCAGTTTTATTTGTTGCAATTCTGTATGTGGTGGGGCTGGGGGTGGTTACTGCTGGTAGAGTCGAGGGATACTTCTAAACACCCATTAGTGCACGGAGAAGTATCAGACTCCAAATGTCAACAGCACTGTGGGTGACACACTGATGCAACATCTGGGTCTTGCTGTTCATGGCCCATCACAGGGCTCAGTACACAGTGTACATAGTTTAGGACACTGAAAATAATAGTATCTTCCTCTAGCAACTGCACAAAACATCGCCCAGTGTGTACTCAATGCATGTTCTGACTAGCTCTTTTTGTTTTACATGTTATAGAAGAGGGGTGTTTAGAAAATTATGTGGCCTGGCTTTCTTAGAGAATGAATTCCCAGCAAGTTTCATTTACGCCTAAGTTTGCTGTGGAGTTTAATGAGGACCTGGCTGTTTATTCAGAACCTGCTGGTGTAGTTGAAATTCAAAGACACAGTCAAATTTATCTTCCCCAGTCTTCCCAAGATAATGAACAATCTTAAATTCAGGCCTTTGTTCACCTTCACAAGGCTAAATGTGGGAAGATCTTGCTATAAGAGCATTCTCGCCAAAGTGTACGGAAATTCAGCACTTCAGAGCCATGGAGAGCGGTGGTTCTTCTAAGCGGGGAACAGTCATGCACGAAAGCCTTCCTGGGAATATCCATCGACCAGCATTCACTTGGGTCAAGTGACTGCCTCGGACCGCATGTGTCCATCAGTTTTAAAACGTGCAGAATTCAGCGTTCGGTACTCATCCACACAACACCAGTGCTCCGCGGCACAGTTAATTTCACAACCATTTCTGCTCAGCTGTGGAAGTGACCTACGACTTTCTTGGAGACAAAGGATTTGCCTCCCTCATCACACTTTGCCCAAGGCTGATATTAACATGTGCTTGGATTTCCTGACTGCATGTTTCCTTGTGAAGGAAGAACATGCAGAATCCCCAGGATATTGTGGAAAGGGGCCCGCAGGGAAAGGAACTGCCAAGGACATAGTCACCCCCAGAGGCCCCGCCTGCTAGTACCATCTCGTGGGAGTTGGGTTCAACATGAATTTTGATGACAGAAACATTCAAGATCTAGCATTTCATCCCGGCTCTTCTAAATTCATGTCCTTCCTGCATGCAAAATATATTCATACCTAAAAAAGTTGTAAGTTGTTCTAGCATCCACTCACACAGGTGAAGTTCAAAGCCTCACCTCAAGAGCATCTACATCGACTCGAGGTGGGACATGAATTACCATTCTTGCTGAGGCACACGCTTTCCGGCTGTGAACCCGTTAGGTGGGTCAGGTTATGTGCTTCCCAAATACACGGTGACAAGGGG